GGACTGAAGAGGTTCAAAATCTTTCTATGGATAACCCATGTCTTGTGATTTTTAATGTTTATTTGTCTGAGACTGGATCTCATTCTATAGCCTTGGCTGTTCTAGAACTCAGAATGTAGAACAGATTGGGCTTGAATTTACACTGATTCTCCTATCTCTGCCTCCTACGTGAAGAGTAATTTCTTAATAGGGGAACTGAGCAGAAATCCACTCAAAAAAGATAATAATTACAAAACCAATTGGGATTTTGAAAAGGATGTTTGCCAGGCATAGTGGCACATTCCTTTATTTAATTCAGCATTTGCGAGGCAGAGGCAGGAGGGTCTCTGTAAGTTTGAGTTCAGCTTGGTCTACATGTCAAGTTGTGGGCTAGCCAAGGACATAGAGTGAAACTCTATCTCAAGAAAAATAATTATTTAGGGATTTTATGTAAAGGTCTGTTAATAGCTAAGTGGATAATGAAAATGCGGTGTATATACACAATGGGACACTATTCGGCTGTAAAGAAAAGTGAAATGACAGAAAGGATTACATGGTGGTGTGAATGAGAGAATGAGAATGCCCCTCGTGGGCTTATGTATTTGAATGCTTTTTCTGCAGTTGGTAGAACTGTTTAGGAAGGATTAGGAGGTGTGACCTTGTTGGAGGAGGTGTGTAACCAGAATTGGACTTTGATTTTAAAACAGTTCAAGTTGGCTGTAACCTGAAAGCCTGTTTCCTACAGTCTAGTGTCTATAGAACCAGAAAATACTTTACACACTGCCAAGGGAGGGAAGCAGTTAATAGTTCTACTTAATTGTGACACCAATGAATCATAGCAATGACCAGCATGGCAAGATATCCAGACAGGAGCAGTAAGTGGCACTCCTAGGTTGGTGATACCCAACGGCTTTCTGATTGGACTCAAGGCAGGAGGAGGGAAACCATGCCTGGTACTAGAAACCTAGACAACTACTCGGGGCTAGTGAGGTCACAGAGCTTATAGGGGAATCTACTACTAAACCAGCATGATTCCTAACTATAGTCTAACTCTTATCCTTGTAGCCACAGATAAGTGTAGCTAGATATCCCTCATTAAAGAGTGTTTGCTTTTCTTTATAGCAAATGGACTATTACAGAAAACCCAACACAGAGATCAATAGATCCCAAGGAACCCAGCCCCAGTGAATACATCTACATCATAGCATCTATGTTTCAAGAAATGGTGGAGAAGAAGGGGAGGAAAGAGAAAGACCAAGAATACCAGGAAGTCTTCTGTGAAACAGTCTTTTCTACAAATGACTGTATAAACAAGACTGGAACAATGGCAATGCTAAGGGGTAGAGGAGAGAACCTCACAGGTCACAGTCACAGCCCTGGACAAGAAAGCACCAGCAACTGATGGGGAAAGAGAGAGAGAGAGAGAGAGAGAGAGAGAGAGAGAGAGAGAGAGAGAGAGAGAGACAGAGACAGAGACAGAGACAGAGACAGAGACACAGAGAGACAGAGAGACAGAGAGACAGAGAGAGACAGAGGGAGAGGGACAGAGACAGAGGGAAAGGGAGAGGGACAAAGACAGAGAGATGGAGGGAGGGAAGGAGGGAGGGAGGGAGGGAGGGAGGGAGGGAAGGAGAGACAGAGAGAGACAGAGAGAGAGAGAGAGAAAGAGAGAGGGGGGGTAGACACTGGAAGGTGGAAAAACACACCATGGGCATGATTGATTTTGGTAGGATGACCATTTTTACTATATTAATCCTACCAGTCCATGAGCATGGGAGAGCATCTTCTGATACCTTCTTCAACTTCTTTCTTCAAAGACTTGAAGTTTTTTTATCTTATAAGACTTTAACTTGCTTGGTTAGAGTTACCTCAAGATATTTTATATTATTTGAGGCTGTTATGAAAGGTTTTGTTTCCCTGATTTCTTTTTCAGTCAATTTGTCATTTGTACAGAGGAAGGCTGCTGATTTTTTTTAACTTCTCTCTTCTTTTTTTAAAAAAATATTTTATTTATTTATTAGTTATGTATACAGTGTTCTGCCTATGTGTATGTCTGCATGCCAGAAAAGGCACCAGATCTCATAATAGATAGTTGTGAACCACCATGTGGTTGCTGGGAATTGAACTCAGGACCTCTGGAAGAACAGCCAGTGCTCTTAGCCTCTGAGCCATCTCTCCAACCCAAGGCTGCTGATTTTTGTGATTTAATTTTGTATCCAGCTACTTTGCTGAAAGTTTATCAGCTGTAGGAGTCTCTCAGTGGAATTTTAAGGGTCATTTATGTACACTATCATATCATCTGCAAATAGGCTTTGACTTCTTCCTTTCCAATTTTTATCCCCTTGATCACCCTCAATTGTCTTATTGCTTTAGCTAAGACCTAAGTACTATATTGAATAAGTGTATAGAGAGTGGACAATCTTGTCTTGTTCATGATTTTATTGAAGTTGTTTTGAGTTTCTGTCCATTTAACTTGAGCCATGTCTCTGGTATCCCTGATATATACAGGATTTTTGTCATGAAGGGGTGTTGAATTTTGTCAAAGGCCTTTTCTTCATGTAGTGAGATGATTGTGTGTGTGTGTGTGTGTGTGTGTGTTTTGTCTTTCATTTTGTTTATACCTCACATTCCTTTTAAGCCTCTCCCCCTCCACCGACCACTCTGGAGCTTCTCAGCAATTCTGACAGGTCCTCTCCTTCCCCATGAACACGAGCATGCTTGTTTTGGGGTGTTCACCTTCCTGATACGTTTTTAAACTGTGATTACCATTGTCAAAGCTGCCTCTCTGACCACCTTGAACTTGTTTCCATGCAACCCCACTGGCTCTACATGAAAGTAATCAGGTTACCAGACAAAAATTTCTTTTTGTGTACTGATTTCTGTTTTGTTTTGTTTGGATGTACTGGATTCAGATGGGATCTCAGTAAGACTTTGTCTCATAGCAGCAGACCTTACCCTAATAACTTCATGTCATAGGGCAAGAGCACAGAAAGGTCACACAGCTTATGTGTACATATTAAAGATAATACTTGCAGCTAGCCAAACTGTTAGATTAAGTGGTTTTATCTTTCTACATGACACACCTAAATTACAGCAAACATCATATAACCACCAAGAAGGCCAAAGTCAATCCTAGAGTGTCATGGCTCCCTATTGCACTGGAGACCTCCTTTTCAGAAGTCAACTCCAATTATCTTTAATTGACAAGGTCTTGTTTAATTGATTCTTGGTGTGTGTGGCACCATAGACTCTCAGTGAACCTGGAGTTCTCCAGGTCAGCAAGACCAGGATGTTATGTAGCACATGGATCCTCCTGATTCTGAAGTGTTAGGATTACAAGCACATGCCACAGAGCTTGGCTTTTTATGTGGGTGCTGGGTGTTTCAACTCAGATCTTGAATCTTGCACAGCAGGCATTTTATCAGTTAAATCTTGTCCTAGCTTTCTTGTGTAACTGACTCTGACATTGAAAAAAAATGCCCTTCCCCATAATGAGATAGATGACTACCTTAGATGCCATGATAGAGCCTTCATCCAGTAGCTGATGGAAACAGAAGCAGAGATTCACAGTTAAGTACTGAGCCTAATTCCTGGAATCCAGTTGTAGAGAGGGAGGAGTGATGAGCAAAGGGGCCGAGACCAGGCTGGAGAAACCCACAGAAACAGCTGGTGTGAAAAAGGGGGCGATCTCAGACTCCAGACTGACAGCTGGGGAACCAGCATAGGACCGATCCAGGCCCCCTGAATGTGGATGTCAGTTGGGGGGCCTGGGCAGTCTATGGGGCCTCTGGCATTGGAACCAGTATTTATTCCTAGTGCAGGAGTGGGCTTTGGGAGCCCACTCCATATGGAGGGATACTCTCTCAGCCTAGATACACAGAGGAGAGGGAACTGGGATTGCTTTTTAAGATTTTAAGTAAGATTGTTTTTAATTTAAATAAAAATTAATTAAAAAGAAGTGTTTCCTATGGTATTGCCTAATGTCTTTTTTTTTTTCTCCTTGGGATGAAAATTTGATAGACGCCTCATGCTTTGAACTAAGGGTACCATAAACACTAGCATCCAGTATACCCCAGAGAAGATCCAAATTGCTTAGTAAGTAGTGTGCTTTATTTTAGAAATTGCTTTCAATACTCTCTTAAACCCCTAATCTGAGGGCCAAAACTCTCCCTCCACTTCCGTGGAGGGACCTTAAGAACTGAGTTTCCTTAGAGTGATATGAACATCCCTAAGATTGTTGAAAACGACATCATGAGGGGATCCAGTCTAAGCAACGATTTGATATCTATACATATACATGGATACACACGCACACGCGCGTGCACATACACACACACACACACACACACACACACACACTAGTTGGCTGGGTCTGGAGGTATGACCATTCAGAGAGGAGGACCAGTGACCTGCACACACTTCAAAGCGTGTTCTTGCAGCAGCTGATGCAACTGGAATGACTTGAGAAGGAAATTAGGAAAATCAACTGGGAGTATGGCTCTGTCACAAACAGGTTGAACTGGATTGAGTCACTTCAAATCTGTGCTGAGCCTCAAAGTCACCAACCATCATTTTAATAAGGACAGACGCCCAAAGCACTGCAGCAGGCTCTGGACAAGACCATAATTCGTCCTTGTGCCCTGGCCATTAAAACCTCTCCCGCCCCCATCCCCTCATCCAGCCCGCCGCTGCCTGTCACTCAGGGGCGAAGGGGGCGGGGCAAAAGGGAAAGGCACACCTCTTTTTGAGCTTCAGTTTCCACACCCCTAAAGAAGGACAGGTGGTCGTGCTCGCCTCGCCTACCAAACTCAACGAACCCAAGACAACTGTAGAAAAGCTGTAACATCCAGAGGGCTATCCAAATGTAAACAGTCTTGGCCACAGCACCCAAGACGACCTCCAAAGGACACGTTCCTCCAGGGACGGGCACAGCCCATCCACCCTCCCCTCCCGCTGGGACGTTGGGGGGCGGGACCACTCGACCCCCCGCCCCCTGGAGGCGCCCCGCCTCTCCTGCGCCTGCGCAGTGAGAATTGACAGCCTCGAGCGCCTAGGCGGGAGGTAAGGGGCTGCCGGGCGACGTCCTTGGGGGCGCGGGGCTGCGCTGTGGCGCCGCGGGCCGGGGTGTGGACGCCGGCGAGAGGCGCCAGGCAGCAAGCCCGGCTTCGGGCCGGTGAGAGCGCCGCCGGGCCGCGTCCAGCGTGGCCGAGCCTCCCGGGTTTCAGTTTCGGAGCAGCTGTCCCAGCGGGCGAGGGGAGGACGGGACCCCGCGGTGCCAAGGCCTCGGGGTTCGCGGTGGACGGACGCTCCGAGCCCTGGGGGCGTCGGGTCGCCGGCTCAGCCGCGCCGCTGGGGGCGTCGGTGTGGCCCGGGGGCGCCCTGGTGACGCCAAGGGGGACCCGGAGAGGCCGCAGCTGCGGGGTCCGGGCCTGCGCTCGCTCTAAAGTCAGCACCCCGCGCACCACCCACAAGCCCGAGGGGACGCGTCCCTCTGAGGGATGGGGCTGTCGGCTGTTTGGGACTTTTTCTAGGAAAGGGGCTCCTTCGCCGATAAACAAGCCTCGAGTAATTTACTTCACGTTTGAGTACTTTTTCTTCTTCGGGACCCTGAGTGTCATGCGCCCATCTCAGTGGCAAGAACCAGGAGATTAAGTTTGTAAAAGCATATGACACCTCTCGCTGCAAATGTGTCTGGAAAATGATTGCAGTCCTGGCTTCTAAAATGTTCATGAAACAGCAATTCGTATACATGCCCCCATACAAACACAAAGCAAAAACTTTGGAGTAATTTACAGTTATTGATAGCTCGAACATGGAGCCGGGCGGTGGTGGCGCACGCCTTTAATCCCAGCACTCGGGAGGCAGAGGCAGGTGGATCTCTTGAGTTCAAAGCCAGCCTGGTCTACGGAGCTGAGTTCTATTGCAGCTAGAGAAACTCCGTCTTGGAAAAAACCTAAGCCCAAACAAAACCAAAGCTGCCCATGATTATTTTTCTCTTATTATGCACTTAGTATGTCGGATTGTTCACGCTTTGTCCACTGGGAAGTTTTGTGTTGTCCTTGTTTTCTGTCCCCCTGTGGTTTTCCTGCCCCAGCCCTGGAATCAGCTACTTCTCCAGGGACTCCTGGCTTCCTTCTCTCACTTGTTGCTTGCTGCCCCTCCCTCAAAATGATACTAGATACCAACACCTGTGGTTCGGGTGTGCTCACTGCTGCTAGGGTGCCATTGCTTTCAGAGCCTCACAGAGGACAGCAGTGTATGCACATGTACACCATGTATGCAAGATCAATATTTATGTACGTTTATATGTCGTTGAAAAGTAAAAGTGCAGAGTGGCATCCTGTCTTTTCACACCACCAGAGTCGTCCTGGTATTGGCTCCTGCTTACTCTCTAACAGTGAGAACTGACTCATTTTCCGGGAAATGTTCCCTTGTTTGTTCAGTCCTGGTATGGGCAGACAGTAAGTAATTCCAGGATACCTAGAATATACTACTGAGAGATGTAGCTGAATTTTCTTTGGGCTGCCAACCGGCTCTCAGATAAAGACACAGAGACTTACTGTTAATTGTGGATGCCCAGCCTTAGCTTAGGCTTGTCCCACCAGCTCTTATAACTTAACCTGTTTCTATTCATCTACGTTTTGCCTTGGGGCTTTTTACCTTTCTTTCATTCTGTATGTCTTTTTTTTTTTTTTTTTTGCATTCTCCCTGGCTGGCTGGCTGGTGGTCACTTTCTACCCGCCCCCCCCCCCAGCCTAAATTCCACTCCCCACTCACTCTCCCTGCCAAGAAGTCCCTCCTATATCTTCCCCCATGCTTTTGGCCATCCAGCTTATTAAACCACTCAAGTGCCTTAGGCAGGCAAGGCAAAGCTGCAACACATCGTCATACCATGAAACATGTGCAACACATCTTTTCATAGTTAAACATTATATAGTAGAGAGAAACATACAGTACAACTGTCTTAATCTTCAGCCTTACAGTGTTGTGCAAAAGTACCATGTTCTGGGCTTTGATAGCTTTCTTTCCCATTTAGTTCATGGTAATGCAGTCTTATTTTTGATAGCTTATTTCTCGTTTTATATTTCTCTTACATCTTGGTTTTTAAAAAAATTTTACATGGTAGCATTTACTCTTTGATGAGTATAGTTCCATGGGTTTTAACAAGAGCAAATAGCTGTGTATCACCACACCATGACAGAATAAATTCTATGGCAAATATTTTATACTTTTTTAAACCATTAAAATAATAGAACAACTTCACAGAAGTTTGGGAACTTAGGAATTTTGCATGTTTTTGGACATTTTTATAGGTGTGAGATCTTTTATCCTATTTTAGTTTAGTGTTTTAATCATGTAACATGTTCCAACTTTATGAGTTAAAAGGTGCTGGAATATACTTTCAGTCCGTTTTCAAACACACTTCTACACCACATTCTGACACTGAACTGGGATCTTCCCTTAACAGATGACAGATGTTCGCTATTGCATGATGTGATGCCATGCTAGACAATACTCTGCTGTTGGCAACATTGTATAACTAGTCTGTTATTGGTAACATCGTACCTGCAATCATTGGAATGTTATGCTCTCACATAGAGTGTATAACTAATAATTTTTTAAAAATAGAAAATGATAGAGGGAAAATTTAAATTCTAGTTAGTAGGAGACTGAAGTAGAAAAGTCTCTTGACACCATTGCACCCCACTAATCTAATCAACCATTGGTTAGAATATGGAGAAGTGCTTCTGTTGGAATGTAAATTGGAAGAAAGGCACATTTGGGAATGTGTATGCTTTTAAAACTTAGTTTGTCTGCTTAATATTTCTATTTTATCTGTCCCTATTAAGTAATCATGGGTGGTAATATGGATTAATATGAGAAAAGAAATCACAATTTGTTTATAATCCTGGAAAATTGGGATCAACTTAAATAACATACATTGGATGATTAGATTACGGAGCATTCACAGTGTAATTCTGTGCTACTAAAAGTAAGTGCATAATAAAAATATTTACATGGTAACATTTTTCATATATTTGATCAAGTTATTCAAAATAAATCCAACATTCATTCTCCATTCAATCCAGTAATAGGTTATTATGTTCATTCCATCATTTTATTTTCTTTATTGTTAAATTTGTTTTTTATAACTCTTTGCAGTGCTTTGAGGGAGAGAAGGATGAATTCTATAAATGTTTAAAAACCACATTACCTACCAGATACCTTAACAGACTCTAGGGATCCTGGGGTGGGGGTACCAAAAAGAAGTGTTTGTGACCACACATGTGAGCACGAGCTCACGAGCTCATGAGCACGTACACACACTTGATTTCTCTCTGTCTCTCTCATCTCTCTCCCTGTCTTCTTCCCTCCCTTCTCTTTTAGTAATTCTTTTAATGAGTTTGCTAAACTCACTCTTGCATATCTGAAAATAATTATTTTGACCTTACCATAAATGATAATTTGCCTGGGTATGTACCAGCTGCCTAGCACTTTGAAGACATCCCTGTCTTTTGATATATTGCTTTGATGAAAAGTTGGCTGCTTTTGTTGTTTTCATTTATCTGTTATCTCTGGTTTGCTTTTAAGATGTTTTTCTTTGTCCTTGACGCTCTGCGGTTCCCTATCATGTGCTTAGGTAAGTTTCTTTTTATTTATACTAGCTGGGCTCTGTGCTTTTCCAACTTGAGATCTTCTGTCTTAATTCTCAGAATATTTTCTTTGAATAATTTCTGTTGGTTGTTTTCTGTATTCTTTCTATTCATTACTGATCTTGTGAATCTATGTCCTTTATCTCCTCTTTTATATTCTTCATCTTTTAATTCCTTAAGTTCTGTGGTTTCTTGTTTACCTCATCTTTTTGAGGCTTTCAGTTTAGATTTTTTTTTACTTGCCTTATGTTCCAATTGGCCTGTTAACTCTCTTGTAACATACTACTTTTAAAAAAGGAACCCACTCTTTCTTTTATGTCCTTTTGAAAAGTCTATTTCTTCATTTATGTCTTTGTATATTTAAGAATAGACTTGACATTACTTTTCTTTTTTAATCACTTTCTCATTTCTAGGGCCCTTGTTATTTTTTGTTTTGTTTGCTTGTTTCTTGAGTCTATTTCTTTTCACACTGTACTTATCCACATGTCTCTAGTTCCTGTCTGCTCTGGGGTTCTTGGTGTCTGAACATTTTCCTTGGGAGTTTGTATTAGACATAAGAACCAAGTTCTTAGCCAAGGGTAATGGAAGTGGTTTTTATGGCCTTTGCTTCAAGATTTTCAACTGTGGAAGAAAGGAGGAAAACAGAACATTGTTTAAAGCACTTCTTAATGTTTGGGGCATTTGATCTCTTTGAGAATCTGAAAACAATGAATCTTAAAGATTCAGGGTCTCACAGAATCAGTACATGAATGCGTGTCTCTGAGGCCTGGACTGAGAAGCCATAGCCTAACAGGATTACATGTTCCATCTGATGTTGGGCTGAGGGCTAAAGAGGTGGTATCAAGGCATGATATACTTTGGTGGTGTTCAGGCTTGGCTAAGCAGGGGAGCGCATCATTTATGTAAAATCAGTTACAAGCTCAAATTTATAAAAATTGATGTCTCATTAGAGCCAGTGTGGGGTTCTGGAGAATGCTCACTTCCAGCACCTGCCTCTCCTGTCCTGTCCCAAAAGCACATACTGGGACTTTTCATATGGCTGTACGGTCCTGGTTACACAGAAAAAAATCTCCACACATCTGCAGGGACTCCTGTTCTTTAAAAGCAATCAAGTACATTTACTGGTGCGCGTGTCCTTCATGTGCTATGGTGTGCTGTGGAGATCAGAGGGCGTCAGTTCTCTGCCGTGTCACTCAGGGGGTCACTCAGGCTGTGTCCTAGCAGCCAATGCCTTACCCACTGAGCCACCGCCTGGCCTTGTCCATATGCTGCTTTTTGCAGCCCTATTGCTGGCCATTTAGTAGACATTCCTGATCACCGTGTTTTAAAAGGAGGAGATGAGGGCCTTCAGTGAAAGGAGGTCTGTATTCTGCAATGTACTTGAAGTTTATAGTTACACGATTACATTATATGGCTTTGGAGGTGGAGTTTGATAGTTTGATATAAGCAGAAATATTGAGTGAAATTTTTCCTTGCGCTTTCGTTACTTGGCAGTTCTTTAAAACAATGGCTATTCAGTGTCCAAAGTTTATCAGGAAGACCTCATTTTTAGTGGTGTTTAGATACATACTTCACATTGCAAAAGACTTCAGGAGACAGCCATCAAAATATAAAGTAGGTGCTCTCTACCATGTGGGCCCCAGGTATTGAACTCAGGTCTTCCGTCTTGGTGGCAAGCCCTTCTACCCACTGAGCCATCCCATAGCCCCCACCTATTCATATTTTCTGAACATTCTCAGGAGCTTGGGAGGTAAAGGTATGAGGATCAGGGTTTCCTGGTCAGCCTGTGGTTACACAGTTCCCGTCCTGCCTGTGCTATGAAAATGAAACAGTTTGAAAAGTACTTGAGAATGACTTTAATGAAGAGACTATTTGCATATACATCATTTCATAGAAAAATCAAGCCATTCAAGTTCAATTTTGAGTTTAATATGTTTTTTAGAGAAAAGAGTAATTACGTATTTGCTGATTAAATTTTTTTTTATGTATGTTTGCCTGCAGTGTGTCTGTGCACCATATGTGCGGTGCCACAGGGGGGCAGAAAATGGTCCTGGAGCTGGAACTGGAGTTACAGGTGGTTGTGAGCCATCGTGTGGGTGCTGGCACCAACCCGGGTCCTCCAGAAGAGCAGCCAGGGCTCTAACCAATGAGCCACCTCTCCACCCCTGTGTTTGTTTATTTCTAAGAAGAGTGGAGCCTGTTGTAAAAGGATTCTTCAATGTCCCCTGCTAGGTGCTTCTGCATGAGAGAAGGAGGTGGCTCAGCCAGCCTTAGGATGTCTGAGGATGAAGAAAAGGTGAGGTTACGCCGGCTGGAACCAGCTATCCAGAAGTTCACTAAGATAGTGATACCAACAGACCTGGAGAGGCTAAGGAAACACCAGATAAACATCGAGAAGGTGAGCGTTCGCTTCCACTGCAGAAGCAGGTACCGCATGATTCTGACTTGCTGTCTTTGGCTTCCAGCTGGATAGAATAGCGAACCTGAGACTTTGTAAGACTCCTCCAACTCTGTGATACAGCCGCACTCACTTTTTAAACTGGCCTTCATGCTCTACATATGTATGGCTCATATATTCCTTTTATCATGTTGAGGAAGGGAGATAGGGTGGAGTGGACGCCTCTTTAATTTACACGTGGCGGTTTTAGGTGGTGAGTAATTAAGTTCAAACTGTTTGACGGTGCCCCGCCGTGAGAAGGTAGGGGCTGTGGCTAATGGGGCTGCCTTCATCTCTTCACCCCATGGCAAGTGTTTTGAACTCGTGCCTATCAGTAACTGCTGTCTTCTTCATGTAGAGAAATAAATAACTGCATGATGTGAGGGGATTTCCTTCCTCCATTGCTTCTCTTTGAAAAGGCCCCCCAGTGATAAGCACCGCCACGGTGGGTTGGGGAAATGAGGGCAGAGGAGCTGCTCAGAGCCCTGGACGGGCCGTGACAGCTGCAGCAGCCCCAGGCTCGCTGGGAACTGAGCCCTGACTTGGAAGGTGGGTCATCTTCTGTTTAAGCATTGAGCTGTGTGCTCCTCTACTTCTATTTTTATCTTTAGGATCGGGGTGAGCCATGTGGTCATAAGTCTTTCAGTGTAAGCTCTATTCACTCAAAATACCAATTCTCCTATTGATTTTTCTGCTATTTAGCCACCTTATAAAAAAAAACAGAAACTCATTTCTAAGATATCTGCAATGGAAATTTCTCTGAGGGTTAATATTTTTCTCATTCCTAAATGTCTTGTTCTTTAGGTATAAGGCTTAAGTGATAGCTCTAGCTTGTAAGGATACAGAAGGAGTTGTCTGGTAAACTGGTTCTCCTTGGAATGGAAGCATGTGAAAGTATTCCATACTTTGCTTAATGGGATAGGGAAACATACCTTATCAAATCTTCTACTAGAGTTGAGCAATCCAAAGTAAACAATTCTGTTTCTAGATTGTGTAAAAGATTTGATAAGGTGTGTTTCAAAGTCCTGAACTATACCGGTTTCTCCATTACTGAGACAGTAAGAATTAGGGAGAGGAGTTGATTTCGGGAGGGAGAGACAAGAGGTCTGTGGGTTACTAAAGCCATCTCCCCTTTATTGTCCTACTTTACCTCTGAGAGTTAACAGTCTTTCTGATAGCTACCTGTGTGAGCAGTCCTGTCCACGCCAAGGGGAACCCCGCAGCAAGTGGTGGGAAAGGAGGAATGGGTCCCTTACTGATTGGATTAGTTCTCCCTGGTGTCATAAGAGAATTAGCCTGGGGTTAGTGCCATTGATTCTGCTCCGCCTGAACATGTTTCTTTTAGCATTTTTACTTATTATGAAACCTTCAGACATTATCGGATAATTATAATGGACAGACAGATGATAATGTCTAACCTAAGAAGGTAAATTCATATTGATTTATACTTTTAAAAAATATGCTTGAACATTTCACTGTCTGTAGGGTTTCTAGTTTAATTATGAAAATACCTCGTTCTCTTGAATAGCGTATTTGATGGACAGGCTATGGCATGTAAACATACTTAAAAATTGTAGTACTCACTCTGTACAGGACAGTTAACTAAATTTAGGCTCCAGGTGTCTTACAGTGCCCGCTTTCAAAAAAGGCATATTGTTCTTAGGAAAAGGTGTAGAAAGATAAAATAGTTATTATTCTGGCCATCAGTCATCCAATACGAATTTAAAAGAGAAAAGCCAGACTGGAGGGAAATTGAAGGTAAGCCTTTAGCAGAGTGATTCTGCAACAGTGACAACAATGAGAGCAGTGTGCTGGGGACACCTGGGCCGTGTTCCTTAGCCCTCAGCCGTGCTGTTACACACGATGTGTGGTTAGCATACATGTGACCCTGACGTTGGGAGCCTTCGCAGTCAGCTTCCTTAGCTCCTGCGTCACAGGTACAGCACAGTAAATAGGAGCTAGAAGATAGCCAACCTGGAACATGATTGTCCTTATTTCCTGTTGTTGGGATCTCAGAAGAAAGTCACTGAGAGGGATGTACACCAGGATTGTATGAGTTAGTTAACGGCTGAGATGCAGGTGGCAGGAAGCCGCATACGGCTCATCAGAGTGGGTGGGGTCTGTCTGCCGTAGGCTTGCCGCCATCTTATGTCTCATGGTAGTGGAGCTGTCCGTTGCCGGCAGGCATGCTCCATCCGTCATACCCAGCTTCATTTCCCTCCTAATGATCTTACAGCACCTTTCTATTTTGAAGGTGAATTCCTCAGTAAAGAAGGTAGAGGAAGTGTGGGCCTGAGTAATTTGCTTCCTGTCTTACATCTGTTAATGACATGTACCCCATCATTTGCCTCCATTTAAGCTTTGTTCTTTGTTCAAATCCCAGCTCTGGCACTTCCTGTGGAGTGTGCTCTGATTGATGTCATCACCTATCTGTAGACACTTCATCTGGACACAACCCTGTGAAGTAGACCTTGACATTTACAGATTTGGCACCCATGTTTCTTTGTTAAACCCCGTCTACCTGTTGTAGTTATCTTATGGGTGGTGATGCTGTAACAGGGGTGAGGTGGGGTTGGGTGGGACTAAGAGGGTGGGCATCCTATGCGTGTGTGACCATCCATCTGACCTGAGAGGAGGATAGAGAACAAGGAGGATGCCGGGCTCACCACCATTTAGAACTTCCCGGTCCGGGCTGCTTGGCTGTACCACCCCGTCTTTGCCCTTGTTAGCCTTGGAGTCCGGCCCCATCTGCTCTGGTTGGGCCTGCAGAGAGGCCCACCTGCTGTGGTCATGGGGCAGGGCAGCTGCTTGAGCATGTGGGGAGGTGATATGGTGACTACGGGGGGCTTGTATCGGTCCCCACTAGCTCTGCTCTTCTCACCTCCACCTGCACCTAGTGTCTCTGATGCCCAGCCGTCCTGAAGTGCAGCCTGCCTGTGGCCTCCACGCCGCTCTCCCCTGCAGCCATCTCTACAAGCTCAGACCGTTGCTCTCCCTGGTCCGCTGTGTCCGCTGCAGTGTGTGTGTGCTCTTCCCAGCTTCTGAAGTTTGCTTCAAAGTTCTTGTCTGCTGGTGTCTTCTCCTGTGTTCTCGTTGCTCTTGTGAATTTTCACCTTTTAACATTCTTTATTGTCTTTTCGTGTGATTTTGGAAAAGAGCAGAAATGAATATTTGTATTTAATCTGCCGGGTTTAATGAGGAACAAGATTATTTATTACAGGAAATAAATATTAGCTTTCCTTAAGTATTTATTGGTGTTTAGTATTTGCTGTTTCTTAGTGTGTTAGCCTTGAGTGATGTATAAAAATAGATTTTCAATTCCTAAGAAGTTTGCAGTTTAGGAAATAAGAGAACATTCCAAGAATGATCAGAGGCAGCGTATGACTGTGCATGAAACAGGTGGCGTGGACTAGACAGGTAGCTTGCAGCTTGAGCCCAGCAGTACCAAATGAAAGAAGAGGATGGCTTCATATTTATACGTTTGCTCATGTTATTCATTTGTTAATTGCAATTACAATAGCCCCCCCCCGTGACTATCTCCTTTACCAAACTCAGGTGGTGGTGAATGATACTGTGTCTAGTGACTGTGATAGTTCAGCTCTTTGGTTATGAAGGAGCTATAGGCACATCTTGGCAGTTCTGGCCAGTAAGCCTTGGCCAAAAGCCTGATAGGAATTTGGAAACCTTCAAAAATGTTTTCCTGCTTTACAAAAGATACACATGTAAGGAAACAGTTCCCTTTCTTCTAGCGGTCTGGGTATGTCTTCCTGTCGCATCTAGAACTCTAGCCAGCCAGCCTGCATTAGGAGACAATATGAGGGCTCTATTGAACCTGGCACTTGACCTTGTAAGTGCTGCATTGAACCACCCTGGCATGGTTGCCACACTCCTGGCTGCTTTCTGTGTGACGTAGGGAGTGTGTTTGTTGTTGGGGCCACTTTCAAGTTTGTGTTTCTGTGTTTAGCAACCCGAAGCGTAATGCTGTGGTTCCCGCCGTGCAGATAGACAAAGATCTTATCCCGCAGAAGCCTGTGCTTAGAAATGCTTGCCAGTTGTCCAAACTTAACTACACGTTTATAGGTTGCTTCTAATGGTTTTCACGCATATTATTACATCACCCTGCTTCCCCCCCACCAAATATTTGGGATAATAGCTTTCATAGTATATCCTAACTTCACATAAGATTGAATAGTAAGCAGTAACAAATGGAATTATTCTTTATTTCTTGTGATTCACAAGGATAATGCCATTGAGACAATAGTTTCTTCTGTAGCCTCTTTGATAAGTGGGCAAATAACAGCAGCAGCAGCAAAGGCTGCTGCTGTCCTCTGTTGAGAGTTACAAGTGACAGCACTTAGTCTCACAGTCGCTTAAGTATTGTTGTTGTTTTAGGATTTCACATTTATTTATTATGGGGATGTGGAGATCAGAGAGCAACCTTTGAAATCAGTTCTCTTCCTTCTATGGTGTGCATTAAACTCAGGCCTTGGGCTTAGGCGCAAGCACCTTTACCTGCTCAGCCGTCTCTCCCGCCCTTTTTGCTCTTTGAGAGAAGGTCTCTCTCTTAGCCCTGGCTGGCCTTGACACATAGCCTTCCTTTCCTAGCTTCCCAGTGCTGGGGTTACGCACATCACACTTTACTCTGCATCACTCTGTAGAGGGAGAGACATTTAGAGCAGTTGAGCTGCATACTTGGAGGTTGCTATGTTAGTGCAGGTACCCAACTTATATGTACTTGAGCGTGCGCTTCTAACAGATGCGTAGAATGAGTAGACCTAACGCTGCCCTCAGAATACCACTTCTTATGCCCAGTCTTTAATTCCTGTGAACGGGCAGCTGTGAAGCCAGATAGTGCTGTTACACTTTCTCTTCCGCTCCAGTGCAGAGCTTCCTGTGAACATTACTGTAATTACCACCAGTGCAGCTGGGACCTTCCATCTATGGTAACCCTTCTCTGCTATGTCACCTGTGAAGTTGATGGTTATGTGTCCTTCGTTTTGAAGCCATCATGAGAATGCTGGGCAGAAAAGGGACAGGCCCTCCAGCTCCTTAAATCTCACATGCCATCTCTCTACTAATTTAGTAAAGACTTTCTCCAAGATTTACATTAATATTTATATCTTTGTGAAATTAGGTCAGTATTTGCAAGTATTAGGGATTTTCCAGTTCTCCATAAATAAACAGAAGTGTTTGCAAAGGTTCTTGGTTCACTCAGACATCATTTTCTTGTGCCTGTTAATTTGAACTCATTTGAAGTGAGTAGGTTTACTTTTTCTTGGTTTTCTTTCTTTTCATTTTTTAGGGGGAAAGAGATAGGACCTAGAACTTCTTAGCTTGGCTTATTTCTGGCCAGCTTTTCTTTTTTTCTTTATTTTAAAATTTAAATTAGAAACAAGCTTGTTTTGCATGTCAATCCCAGTTCCCTCTCCTCCCCCCTTTCTCCTGTCCCCCCATCCCATCCCCTTTCTGCTCCCCAGGGAGGGTGAGGCCTTCCATGGGGGATCTTCAAAGTCTGTCATATCATTTGGAGCAGGTCCTAAGCCCTCCCCCAAGTGTCTAGGCTGAGAGAGTATCCTTCTATGTGGAGTGGGCTCCCAAAGTCCATTCATGTACTAGGGATAAATACTGATCCACTACCAGATGTCCCATAGACCAGACCTCCAAACTGACATCCTCTTTCAGGGGGTCTGGATCAGTCCTATGCTGATTTCCCAGCTATCAGTCTGGGATCCATGAGCTCCCCCTTGTTCAGGTCAGCTGTCTCTGTGGGTTTCTCTAGCCTGGTCTTGACCCCTTTGCTCATCTCTCCTCCCTCTCTGCAACTGTATTCCAGGAGTTCAGTTCAGTGTTTAGCTGTGGGTGTCTGCTTCTGCTTCCATAAGCTACTGGATGAAGGCTCTAGAATGGCATATAAAGTAGTCATCAATCTCATTATTGGAGAAGGGCATTTAAGGTATCCTCTCCACTATTGCTTAGATTGTTAGTTGGGGTCAGGCCTAGAACTTTTTAATGCTAGGCAAGCACTGCATCTCTGAGCTATATCCCTAAACCTGTTGTCTTTGTTGTTGAGATAATGTCTCCCTATATTCCCCAAACCAGTCCTGATCTTTTGACTCGGATAATCCTCCTGCCTCAGCTGTCTGGTTGGATAAGATTGCAGGCATACTCCATCATAGCTAGCTTAATTTCCTCCTGATGATCATATCCGTGCTTTTCTACTTTGAAGGTGAATTCCTCAGTAAAGAAGGTAGACAAGGACACTGAATAATTTCACTTTCTGTCTTAACATCTGTTAATGACATGAACTTTACCATCTGCCACCATTCAAGCTTTGTTTTTTGTTCAAATCTCAGTTAGGTGCTTCCTGTGGAGGATGCTCTGATTGATGTCATCACCTCAGATATAGACACCCATTTTAACACAGCTCTATGTAGTAGACCTTAATGTTTATAGACTTGACATCCATGTTTTATTATTTGGAACAAAGCTGCAAATGTCTGTGTTTCCAGAAGTTATGATGGTGAAATTACAATAGCATAAGATCATGCATGTGTGTGTGCGTGTGTGCGTGTGTGTGTGTGTGTGTGTGTGTGTGTGTGTGTGTGTATGTGTGTATGTCTAGGGATATGTGCCATGTTGGCATGTGGAGGCCAGAGGACAGCTTACAGAAATTGGTCCTAGAGATGGAACTCAGGTAGTTACCTGCTGAACCATCTGGCCAGCCTGAGAGTTTAGAAATAATTAAAAAGTTGATATTTATCTGTATATTTACCATTTACCTATACTCCTCATTCCTTTGTGGAGAATCAGAGTTCTGTCAGGCACCATCAGCATTTCTCGCAGTGTCTGTGCTGCATGTGTGTGGGAGCTGCAGTGGAGTTGTGTCTCTTCTCTGTGAGCTGCACGTGGTTCCGGTGACTCTGTGAGCTGCACGTGGTTCCGGTGACTCTGTGAGCTGCACGTGACTTCTGGCTTGTGTTGTCTGTCAGAGACTTCTGTCACCCTTGTCTCTGCATTCAAGCATCTTCTCCTTTCTGCCTGCTTTTGGGATTATTGCTTTTGGGAAAGTTCTGATCTTAGTTTTTACCATTTATCATCACAGTTAAGAAACTTGAGACTCTGCATATGTAGTGAGGATGTGTAAGGTGCTGTCTGTCTCCCAGCTTCTCTTGTATTCTCTTTATTTGTGTTCCCTTCCCCATAGAGTTTGCAGAAAGACAAAAACTTTATTTTGGTTAAAAAAAGTAATTTGATCTGATAACATTTTGTGTTGTTGTTAACTGTTACTTATAAATTTTTATGTTTTTAAATTTTTAAAATGTAATATTGAAATCCTTCAGAAAGTTAACTACCATTACAAAAATCACTGTTTTCCCTCTCTGCTATGTTCAGAGTAGGTGAGTAGAGGTTTTGTGGTGACTGGACATGGTCTCATGATGTAAAACTCAGCACTTCCCCTGTTCTTTGTTTAATAGTATCAACGGTGCAGAATTTGGGACAAGTTGCATGAAGAGCACATCAACGCAGGGCGCACTGTTCAGGTAAGTCTGCTGTGCGTGGCCAGTCAGTAGAAGAAGACAGTCAGGCTGATAAGGTTTTATCTGAAGTGCTCATTTCAAGTCGTGTGAGATTTGACAAGTGAAGATGAAATCCGTTCTTGTGTCACACTCTCCCGAGGCAATGGCAGGACGTTCAGTCCCACGAGGCCAGCCGTGGCATCACCCTGGCAGGCAAGTGTCAGGTTTGGAATGTTTAGGACTTGTAGGTTTTGAGGTAGGGGTTACTCACCTTCCTCCTTCCTAGCTGACCCTCTTTTGGGTATTTGTTAGTGTTTACCAGGAACTGCTAAGTCATATTTCATGTTGCCTCCTTTCCCTTAAGAATAATAAGTTAACTTACATTTTCACAATCAAAGCATTTTCCAAAATCCTTACAAAACTCACAGTATTTCCCAAGGTTGTATTAATTAATTGATTGGTTGGCATCAATTAACCTTTTTTTAAAAAATTACCTTGGACAAATATTTCTTGTGTGTTTTCTTCATGTATGTTCTGCTGCTTTATTTGTAAGACACATCTATAATTTGAGAGATACAGTATTCTATCTATGAAATATATTACCCATATTTAGTTATTTACTTTAAAAAATAAGTTCTAATTATTTTAAACTAGCTTTTAAAAATTTAGGGCCAGGCCCGGTGGTGGTAGCACACACCTTTAATCCCAATACCTGGGAGGCAGAGACAGGCGGATCTCTGTGAGCTCGAGACCAGCCCTGGTCTACAAAGCTATGGAGAAACCCTGTCTCAACATAGAAAGAAAGGATGAAGATTCAGGGCCTGTGAGACGGTTTATTGGGTAGCGGCACTGGCCACCAAGCCTGACAGCTAGGTTTCATCCCCAGGACCCACATGGTGAGAGCAGACAGCTGACTCCAGCTGGCTGTCCTCTGACCTCCACACATGTGCTGTCCCTCAGCACACCCGTAATAAATAAGGAAATCAATGCATTTGAAAAGCTATAAGCATTAATTTTTTAAAGAACAGTACAGTAGAGGCAGAGCCCCACAGTTCTCTATCTTTAAGACCTATTTGGAAGAATCCGTTGTGAGGTCTTTGGGCTCCTTTCCCGTGCTTCCTCGTGATTACTGACTAGCCCATGTAGTTATGCGGTGTAGGCGCCATCTCTTTACCCCTGCCACATGGGTGGGGCTCTAGCTCTCCACTCTGTTCTCCTGTCTTCCTTCTCCTTTATAATTGCATATATACTGGCATTGGTTTAGTTAGTACCTCCTTATTTTGATTATAATGAAATACAGTCCAGCCCTTTACTTTTTTTTGAAGTTAATAACAACCTTACTTTTAATTATCTGTCTTTCTGTCTGTGTATTCTGAGTTCTGTTAAGATGTTCCACATGTTTTATCATATCTCTTTGCATGATATTTTCATGTGTTTAGATATATGTGTGCTCTTCTTTACTCTGGAGTTGTCTCTAAGACCTTCAGCCCTCAGCTCCTGTGTGGACTCTGTCTGATGCATAGCTGCTGTCCTGGAACTCCCGGGATGCATCTATGCAGGGGCTGTGAGTTCTCAGGGCGTCCTCCATTTTTACCTCCTCCCGGGATGCATCTATGCAGGAGCTGTGAGTTCTCAGGGCTTCCTCCATTTTTATCTCCTCCCCAGGATGCATCTATGCAGGGGCTGTGAGTTCTCAGGGCGTCCTCCATTTTTACCTCCTCCGCTGCTTTGTTGGTTAGCACCCAGAGGTAAAGTAAGTAACTGTATGTCTGAAACCCTCACTGTAGTTCTACCGGGTATAGGATTCCCTTTTGAATTGGCTTTCAAGAGTGACCGCTTTCCAGCTCTTTGTGTAATTCTTTCAAAATCTGAATCTCTTTTTTTATTTCTTCCTTTACCCAGGGATGGTGCAATTGTGCAGTGTTCAATTTCCATGAGTTTGTAGGGTTTCTGTGATTTGTGTTATTGTTGAATTCTAGTTTTAATGCAGGGTGGTCTGATAAGTTACAGGGGGTTATTCCAATTTCTTTGTATCTGTGGAGATTTGCTATGCTTCCTATTATGTGGTCAATTTTAAAGAAAGTTCCATGTGGCACCGAGAAGAAGGTATATCCTTTTGTGTTTGGGTGGAATGTTCTATAGATGTCTGTTAAACCCAGTTGAGTCATAACTTCTATTAGTTCTTTTGTTTCTTTGTTAAGTTTCTGTCTGGAGGTCCGGCCTAATAGTGAGAGTGGAGTGTTGAAGTCTCCTACTACTAGTGTGTGAGATTTTATGTGCAATTTGAGCTTTAGTAATGTTTCTTTCACGAATGCGGGTGCCTTTGTATTTGGGACATAGATGTTCAAAATTGAGACTTAATTTTGATGGATTTTCCTTTGATGAATATGAAATGGTCTTCTTCATCTCTTTTGATTGATTTTAATTTGAAGTCTAATTTGTTAGATATTAGGATTGCCACACCAGCTTGTTTCTTGGGTCTGTTTGATTGGAAAATCTTTTCCCAACCCTTTACTCTGAGGTAACATCTGTCTTTGACATTGAGATGTGTTTCTTGTATGCAGCAGAAGGATGGGTTATGTTTTTGTATCCATTCTGCTAGTCTGTGTCTTTTTATAGGCAAGTTGAGACCGTTGACGTTGAGGGATATTAATGACCATTGATTGATGATTCTTGTTTGTGCTTGATTTATTGGTAGTGGTGTTATTGTGTGTAGGTTCTCCTCCCTTTTTCTTTTGGTGTTTGGTAAAGTGGGATTATCTATTGCCTATGTCTTTGTGAGTGTAGTTATCTTCGTTGGGTCTAGGTTTTCCTTCCATCACTTTCTGCAGAGCTGGATTCATGGACACGTATTGTTTAAATCTGGCTTTGTCCTGGAGTATTTTGTTTTCTCCATCTATGGTAATTGAAAGCTTTGCTGGATATAGTAGTCTGGGCTGACATCCTTGTTCCCTTAGTGTTTGTAGGACATTTGTCCAGGATCTTCTGGCTTTCATCGTTTCCATTGAGAAATCGGGTGTAATTTGGATAGGTCTGCCTTTATATGTTACTTGGCCTTTTTCTTTAGCTGTTCTTAATATTTCCTCTTTATTCTGTAGGGTTGATGTTTTTATTATTATATTGGCAAGGTGACTTATTTTTCTGGTCCAGCCTATTTGGTGTTCTGTAGGATTCTTGTATTTTCATAGGCATATCCTTCTTTAGGTTAGGAAAGTTTCTTCTATGACTTTGTTGAATATGTTTTCTGTACCTTTGAGCTGTATTTCTTCTATACCTATTATTCTCCAGGTTGGCTTCTTCACGGTGTCCCATATTTCCTGGATATTTTGTGTTAGGGATTTGTTGGTTTTGAGATTTTCTTTGGTTGATGTCTGTATATCCTCTAATGAGTCTTCAACACCTGAGATTCTCTCTTCTATCTCTTGTATTCTATTGGTGATACTTGCATCTGTAGTTCCCGATTGTTTACTCAGCTTTTCTATTTCCAGCATCCCCTCATTTTGTGTTTTCCTTACTGTTTCTATTTCAGCTTTCAATCCTTCAACTGTTTGAGTTGTTTCCTTCATTTGTTTGGTTGTTTTTTCTTGGTAATCTTTAGATTCTTTAAGAGATTTGTTTATTTCTTGAATTTTTTGACTCATCTTTTCCTCCATTACACGTATTTTTTGTTTGTTTTTTCTTCTATTTCTTTAAGGGATTTCCTCGTTTCCTCTTTGAGGGTCTCTATCTTCTTCATAAAATAATTTTTAAGGTCTGTCTCTTCTGCTTCATCTGTGTTGTGCTTTTCAGGTCTTGCTGGGATTGTGTCTCTAGACTCTGGTGGAGTCATGTTGGTCTTTCTATTGCTGAGTGAGCTCTTATTCTGTCTTCTTCCCATCTCTTCTTCCAGTGGGTGCAGGTGGGGTCTTTCCATCTCCACTGGTCTCCTTCTTTCCTGAAGCTGAAGCTGGGGTCGCCGGAGGTTGGGGTCTGGAAGGACTGATGCCTTTCCTGTGTAGGCAGGTCCTCTGGATGCTGGAAGCAGGCCCTGGAAGATTGAGGGCATGGGTGATGGGCCTGATTTCCCTGTCTTTGCAATGGACCTTTTCCCTCCTTGGGACTTTTGTGCTCTGCGTATCCCTAGTTCTCTGAAATTTTAATAATGTTTTGTGTTATATCTTATCATCCATCTCAAAATTCATTTTTATTAGTTTTGTGAAATTTTATTTATTTGCTTATTTGTTTGTATTTTGAGACAGGATCTTACCTGGGCACAGGTTGGTCAGGAACTTACTATGTAGTCCTGTGAGTCCTCAAACTTATGGCAATCCTCTTGGTAGCCTTCCAAGTGCAGGGACTATAGGCTTGAGCTACCACGCCTAGCTTTAATTTGTTCTCCGTTCTCTCTCTCAAGATTTTTTTGTGGGGCTGGGGAGATGGCTCAGTAGGTAAAGTTACTGCTGTGCAAGCTTGAGACCTGAATTCAGATTCCCAGCATGTGTGAAAAGTCAGGTATGGCATACATCTGTAACCTTAGTGACGAGCAGACCCCTGGAACCTGCTCTCCAGCCAGCTTAGACACTTGGTGAGCTGCAGATTCAGAAAGAGACCCTGTCTCAAAATAGGGTAGAGATGCTGACCTTTGCTCCACACAATGGTCACATGTACTCGCATGTACAAATATGTACACATACTGTTTTATCTTAAGGGTCAGCAAACTGACTCCCAGACTCAACCTGGCCTGACAGCTGTCTGTTTATTTGTTTACTTACTTACTATCTTCACATTACAAATGCAGAGTTGAATAGTTGCAACAGAGACCATATGGCTTCCAGAATGTATGCTGTGTACTACCTGGCCGTACAGAAAGGGCTGCCAATCTCTGTTTCACTGAATATTGGAACTCAGATTGCGTGACTCAGTGGTTAAAAATGAGCCTAAGAACCCATATAAAAATCTGGACACCACAGCTCATGTTCATGATTCCATCATTCCTACAGCAAATGGGAAGCAGAGACAGGTGAGTCCTCTAGAAGATTCGGGCTTGCTAGTCCAGAGTACTCGGTGTAGCACTGAACAAGAGAGACCTTGCAAAATAGTGAAAGGCAAGAGCCAACACCAGAGGTTGTTCTTTACCTCACACACAAGCACATGTGCACAATCAGACAAACACATATGCACAAATCCAAATATATATTCAAACGTATAATTAAATTACTATAGCTGTAATATAGTGAAAATTGAGGTTGGATGAAATGAAAGCAAGATGTCCCAAAAAAGCACTCCAGAAGTTCAAGGAATAGACACTACTGAATTCAAATAAGAAGATGGAGAAAAGCAAAGGAGTTTGAGGTTGAGATGGAAATACGGCTTGTCTCTGTTGTACTGGATGGTGACTATCCTACAGGACTCAGGAAAAGGTGACTCTCCCCAGACCCCACATGCTGGGCCATCAAGATTCAGTGGGCCTGAGCTTGTTAATGGTAATGAGATTATTATGACTTGGTTTTCTTACCATCTTACTGTTTAATGTTTCACTAACAATCACATAATTTTTATTGAGATATTGACAGTCAGAGTTTGTGTACTAATTTTTAAAATCATGTTGACATTATTGACCTCCATCTGGCATGAAAGATTTGTATGTGCCGTTGAAATAATGAAATCAAACTTGTTAGTAGATTCATGTGTTTGCTTCCTTTATTCATCTCTGCTCCAGACTTAGTGTACAGGCTTGTTCATGGCTAGTTTGTGATAAAAATCTTTTTTTTTTTTTTTTTTTTTAGAAACAAGTGATAGGCTTTTCAGATTTATCAGAATTAGGTTTTTGTAAAACTCACCTTTTCACTTTGGTTTCATCTTTTGGGACAAAGAACTTCTTATGTGATTTACTTTTTAACCTTTTCTTTTATGTTTTATGCTTTTGATATCTTGCATAAGTAATTTTCTCCATATTTATATGATGATAAACAAGATTTTGTTTGAAATACTTCATTCATTTTGTTTTTGAGACACAACGTTATGTATGTAGCTCAGGTTGGCCTTAAACAAACTATGAATTGAGGATGGCCCCAAACTCTTGACCATCCTTGTCTCTGGCTACGGAGCCCTAGTATTATATCTAGTATTAACAGATACACACCACATACGGGGTACTAATTCATTTGTATCTTACAGTATGTGTGTGTGTGTGTAGAAGTGTTCAATGTTGACTTTCTTTTAATTAGGCTTTCTAAATTTTTTGTTAATGTACATATGTAGTTAGTTTCCATAGATAGATTTTTTACAGCCAATTACTTTTAAAGTCTTATTATTTCTAATGATTTTTTGTAATCCCTTTGAATTTTCTTTTCCAAGTTCAACTTTTTGAGACTTATTTTTCCTCTTTCAGTATTACCATATTTCCAGATTTCTATTTTATATTGATTACTTTAACTTTTTAAAAATTTGGCTTACTGACCACTTGAAAGGGTTGCTTAAAAATAATTGTGTTCAATCAGGTAGTGGTGGTGGCGTACACACCTTTGATCCTGGCACATGAGACAGAGACAGGCAGATCTGTGAGTTCAAGGTCAGCCTGATCTACAGAGCAAGTTTCAGGGTAGTCAGGGCTACACAGAGACGCCTGACTTGAAAAAGCCAAAAGAAAAAAACAAAACAAAACAATAAATGCTTGTTCAAATATATCCTTTAAAAATTGCCACTAGTGCCAGAGAGATTGTTGAGTGGGCAAAATCATTTGCCCCCATGATAACCTGAGTGGTGCTTGTAACC